TAACATCACGTTTCCAAGAACGTATCGAGGACGTTAACCGGTGCATGACCGTACTGTAATACTGTATGTAATTTGTAATATGACTTGAAAATAAAAGGATAAGTTGTATCAGAAGGTTATTTACTCAAAATGCATTCGTGTGAGAGCTTTCAGTAGACCAGCTTACAACAGGGGTCACTATAACACTCTACTATATAGTATTTGATATGAAGATACCTTCCCAACAACATTATTTGGCTACTTGTACACTTAAACAAATGATGAACGAATAAACCAGGGTATATGGAGATACACAATATTGTACACTACAATATTACTTATTATGTGGTGGTAAACTCACTACAATAGTATTTTTTGTACTAATTTACGAAGTGTTGAAAACAGACATACACTCATTAATCAACACAGCTAAAATTATGGGACGTAAAATGGTGTGTCTACTAGCGATCAGCTGATGGGGAGAGGGGGTTCTAGTGCTTATTTATTTATCTGTCCTTAAGAGTGACTTTAAGTTTTTCTCTCTTAAAATGTCTCTAAACTGACCTGGGAGAATATAATTAACATTACTGGAATTCTTATAGGATAGTGATTAGTTTGAATTCAAACATGCTATACTAGTTCGCATTAGACATACAAATTTTAGTTCTAATTACAAATGGCTAAATTTTTTTATCTCTTGTGCAAAATATAATGACGTTTATATTCAAATTATTCGCTGTCTTGTAAGGATTCTAGCAATACAAATTATATTCTCCTAACTTTAATCTGTGATATTATATAAGATAAAAACTTAAAACCTACTGTATAACCAGCAAACCCTGGTTGGGAGGGGGAGGAAAGGGAGGTGCCAGTGACATGTTTGACAGCTGGTGCCGAAGGTCTAGTGAAGTATTTTTTGTTTATTTATGTCTTTCAGTTTGAGTTTTTGTTTATAAAATGTCACACAAGTGACCAGGGAGAATATAATTTACATTGCTGGAATTCTTATAAGGTAGTGATTAATTTGAATACAGTCAACCCTCGCTTTACGCGGTCCCACATTCCGCGTTTCCACGTTTACGCGGTACCCTGCCTAAACCGGAATGCTCACATTCCGCGGTGCGTGTACCCCTTTATGCGGAGAGCGGCTGGCGAGCCGCGCCATTTTTGGATCCAAACCTCCCGCCCTCTCCTGCCATCCGCCATGTTGTGTAAGCGGTGCGAGCAGGGTGCGCACAAGGTCGCCCAGTCATCAAAACATTACCGAGTTCTTCACCCGCCACCCACCACAGCCGGCCCAAGTCAGTGATAGTGATAATTATAGTGAGGATATGGACTTATATGGACTTTGAGGGGTTTGACAAAGAGGCCCTGCAAGCCTCTGTGGTGGATAGTGATACAATTGATACAAGCGATACAGGTGAGGGCCAATAATCTGCCCTCTGCCTCGGAACCAACCGCCCATCCCCGTGTGCCCAGCCATCTTTTCTACTAATGTAAGTGTTAAAAAACCTAATATTATTGATATTTCTCTTAATTACTAATTGTGTGTGCATACCATCATAAAATTAAGAAGATATTTTTACTACAACGTAGGTATTGTGTCTGAAAAAGTGGAGTTTGGGGGTCGGCCCAGTCTCTATTTCAATTAATCCCATATGTTATGTTGTTCACTTTACGCGTTTCTCACTTTCCGCGGTACCCTGTGGGTTGAATTAACCGCGTAAAGTGAGGGTTCACTGTATAATCATGCTATAGTTTGAACAAGAAAATTTTTTTAGTAATCATTTAGTACATTATTTTGAGTACATGTACAGTACAGCTTTGCTCTTAGGACAATGTAGCGTGCCCCGAGAAACATTAAGCATGAATTTTAAAATATGATGTGCCATATTGACTCGTGCAAAATAGGAAAGATTCGCTTTAAATTAAAACATCGTCCTTAATTGTGGGTGTCGCTTTAAATTAATAATCTTAAATTGAATCGCTTTAAATCAACGTTCTACTGTATAATTTATCTGAAAATAGAAGATTTGGGTAATCATTCACAACCACATGTAAATTACTTTATTAAAACAGTAGAGTTTTAAAAAGTACTGGACTTTGTTACTTTAGTAAAATTATTGTTGCATTGGCAAATGTTACTCAAGTAGAAATAAAGAAGTATCTCAAGTAGTGAAAGTAAAAAATAAAAAAATTATTAATCGTCTCAAATATTAAAATAAGTCCACAGTAAATTATAAAAAAGTAGTTAACTCAAGATAAAAATAAAAGACACAGCATTACTGTACACGTGTTTAATTGCAAATCTTTTTATTGATATTAATCAATAACTGATTCTCAAAATTATGGCTGTCCAATTGGGATCTTTTAGGCCTAAATATAAGCCCAGCTTGACTAAACAGATGCTCACAAGCAGCAGGTGCAGGTAGTGGGGTGTTAAGCTTGAGAGATAAGTCGCATAATGTTGGGAAATACCTTAGTGGCTCCATTCCATCCCCTGGGCATGCCAAGTAGCAATGAAGCTCCTTCAGTTGAGGAGTTTGTGGATGAATGTTGCCTCTGGAGCACCAAACAAAGAAATGGCAGAAAGGGCAGCTTGGGCGCTTAAACTGTGTCTGTCAATTGGGTACATGAATGAAACAATATGAAAGAAAGCATCTGATTGGTCCAGACATAAAGAAATGCTTGTGATTGGATAGCTTCCAAGTTTGTCCTGTGTCCTGCAATTGGATATTTAAAGCCTTTGTTTGGGTCATGTAATGAGTAAAAAAATTTTTATTCAATTGTATTGGAGTAAAGGTAGTAGAAAACCATACTTAGGTAAAAGTACTGAAAAATTTGAGTACTTTTTAAAAAGTAAATACCCCAAAATTATACTTGAGCACAGTACTAAAGTAAATTTACTTAGTTACTTTACAACTCTGGAAAACCGTTCACTCACATAGTAGTCACTAGAAGTCTTTCTTTGGCAGTAATGCTTCTAATACAAATTGTGTAAAATTTTATTATTGTACAGGTGTTAGCAGGAAGTTGCAGAATACAATCTAAAGTTTCAGATTTTATCCTAGTAAAATTTTTAAATTTCTTCTTGACCTGGCAGAGCCATAACGTAAGACCCGATAATAAATCTGCTGTTGCTCACTTTCTCATAAGAGGATGAATCCAAAGCTTCCTCTTCCCCAAACAACACTATATTGCTACAGCACTTTCATTGCAGGACAACTTGTTGACAACTGACTAGCCAATTTCTGTCTTGCCCTGTTTTTTCAGTGTGGCTCCAAGTGCCAGTTTCGTCTTTTTTGTCTGCTCAGTGTGAAACCAGGCTTAGGATTACCGTAAAATAAGCAGTTAAAAGTGTGAAGTTGATTGTAATCCTGGTTCATGGCTGAGCCGTGAAGTGACTTCTGGAATGCGCACTGCTAGTGTGGCACTTGACTTGATACTGTACTCTCCAGTATTGTAGTTGCTGTGCTTCCAACCCTCCCTTTCTGAGGGATGCAGTTACAATGGGGAGATGTTGATGACAAATGGAATAGTACCATCCAGCATTTTCTAAGTGTTCTAGGTTTGACCCATCGACTTATCTGGGTTTTACCTGTCATCTGGAGTTTGAGGATCAATCTTTCATTTTTTGTTACCTGGAAAATACTGTAGGGATGTATAATTTTGCCTAATTTTTTTCCTACAATATGGGGAGAGAAATTAAAGATTTTCCTAATGTTAACTCTCTTTTTGGTTATGGTTGAGTTTTTGTTTGCTGTGGGTCATTCATGCTTCAGAAAAGCTTTAATAAAAGTCAGTGAATTAGCTGTGCTCTGGTAGAATTCAGGAAATCTAATGTGCTTTTGTAGAATCATTTAAAATTAGTCAAGTTTTAATAGAATCATTAAAAGTTAGTTATCTTTTGATATTAGTGATGAAAGCTAGTTATGCTTTGATAGAATCACTTGAGAGTTAGCTATGTAGAATAATTGAACATAAAATATTCTTTGGAGGAATCGCCAAAAGGAGTGTTTCATGAAATTCCCCAGAAAGTTAGTTTGGAACAGAAAGCTTAAGTAATAGAGTGGTAGATAAATAGCATTAGTATGATCATCTTGGGATAGCAACTGTAGAAATGTGCATGTTGTATCATAAGATGAGGCCCTGTTCAAGAACTATGCTGACGAGGATTCTTGTTATTTATGAGAACAATTTGTAATTAGATAATGTCCCTGTTAAGTGATTGTGAATTTTTCCCATAGTGTTAAAAGCATTTGCATGGCAGTTATCCTCCCACCACTATTTTAATTTGTTTAAAATAAAGTATCTCATGTTTTTAGAGCAGTGATCCCCATCATAGCTGAAAGTCTCATCCTGACCTAGGATATCTTATTAAACCCATAATCCGTCCATTCTCTGCCCATATCCTGGCACCCGGCTCATTATATACCCCAGACTACCTATACACATTCAGAGCTCTGGTGTTGTCATTCCTTTTCATTTTTGTGCAGTCACGTTCTGGTACACATCTTGTACAGAATATGTTTTTCTGTTGTTCCAAGTCAAGAGTTATTTTATTAATGTTTTGAATCATTGTGTTAATTCTTTTGTGTTTTGTATTATCTCTCCATATATATATATATACTGTATATATATATATATATATATATATATATATATATATATATATATATATATATATATATATATATATATATATATATATATATATATATATATATATATATATATATATATATATTGTGTGTATGTTTTTTCCTTCCTTCCTTGATCAAAAGTCATCACCCACACCACACCATATTCCAGTTCTCATCCTCCTTGAGCAGCTAAAGTTTGTCTTTGGTTGATGCTTTGCATGTCCTCTTTTGCTCAACACCTGCTGTTTTTCCTCGTAAGTCTTCCATGTCCATTGTGATTAAAATGTAACTTTGGCCTTCCTTGCCACTAGGAGGTTAAACCCCTCTACCTATCTTGTCACTAAGGACTCTTATTAAATTGTTTCACGCCAACAATAGAAGATGAAGGTACGTTACCAGTAGCCACATTTGACTATCATTGTTGTGTACTTGTAGAAACTACTACTTTCTGTTTTTTATGTGATTGCAGTATTTTTAGATGTACTGTATATATTTATAGGGTATACCCTGATAATTTTTGTTGTTGTATTATTATTATTGAGTCAAGGCCAAAGATGAATCATTAATATATGCAACAGAGCGCACTGTTTTTTCATTAATTAGATTAAAGTTATGATATAATTCAATATTTATCCTCTAATGTTAATGATCAGTTATTATATAAAATTCTTCTTAAGATATCTAACAGGAAATCAAGTCTTTTTTATATATAGATACAGTATAGTGATATCCTAACTGGAATAATTGGTACAGAGCTTTTCCAGGAATTAGAGATTTCCGGCTATTGAGGGGAATTTTCTTTCCCTTGAAAAAATTGCACATCCCCAGAATTTTTCCAGGGACTGGGGAAAATTTTCCGAGAGTCTAAGCTATACATCTCGCATGGATAGACATAGAGCTGTATTTATTTATGCAAAAACCACTGCACACTTACAATATAGAGTATTGTAAATAAACAAAATACACTACTGTACTCACCAGCTGATGATGTCATCTTGGGCTTGTGATGCAAGCAGGCCAAATGTTCATATGATGATACAGTATGACCTGCCTTTGTCCTGTACCATTAACTTTAACAGGTGTTACTAACTGTCACTCTCCTTTCCCTCTATGAAGGAGGGATTGTACATGCTCTTTTGCACACTAGCTTACAGTAGTCATACACTGTCCACTCTGCTATGTTACACTACAGTATGTACTGTCATGGTCAAAAGTAATCATGCATTCCACCACCTAACCCTGCTTCCTGTCAGGGTGGAGAAGGGGAATGGTTGATTTGGGGGAGGACTGTTTGTTGTGGGGGGTGGAATGTGATGTAAGTTGCTCATGAAAGAGGGAGGGGATTGAAGAAAGTAGAATCTTTGCAGGACTGTGTTTAATTTGAGTAAAAACATCTCATAGTTTGAGTACAAAATGAGTATAGTAATATGTTGCTTATATCATGGTCTTTTCCTCACACACACACACACACACACTATATAAGAAATGATAGGAATAGGGTCTAATTGTGACTACCACATTGTAAGTAACACTCAAAGTTTAATTTGGTATCTTTTATATGTATATATATATATATATATATATATATATATATATATATATATATATATATATATATATATATATATATATATATATATATATATATATATATATATATATATATATATATATATATATATATATATATATATATATTGTACCCCACTTAACGCGGTCAATTGAACCCAGAGGGTCCGCGTTAAGTGAAATCCGCGTTAAGTGAACAACAGAACATATGGGATTAATTCCAATAGAAACCGGCCCGACCCCCAAACTCCACTTTTTGAAGGCACATACCTATGTTGTAGTAAAAATAACATCTTAATTTTATGATGGTACATGCACACAATTAATACTTAAGAGAAATAGAGAAATACAGTCGCCAAGTTAATGTCCATTCAAATAATGGACTCAACTCCCTCCCCCTCTTCTCACACTACACTCACTGGCTCTTCCCTCTCAGAGAAATTTTTGGGGGAAAACCACTAAATTTTAATAAATAATACCTCAAACTAAAGTTAGGATAATACAATTGACATTGCTGGATTCCTTGTAAGACCAGGAATATTTTGAATATAAATGTCATATATTTTGCACAAAAGATAACATAGTTACCTAGAGAAAAATTTTTATCTAAAAATTGTATGTTTAATGCAAAATATATGATGTTTATATTCAAAATGATCACCAAATTATAAGAATTCCAGCAATGTAAATTATATTCTGACCGGGTAATTTGTATGAATTTTATGAGCTAAAACAAATATCTTCAGTTAATAAAAAAAAAAATAATCTTCACGACACTATCTGTCAATCAAAGTACCCCACCTTGCCTCCCCCCCTCTTCCAACCGCGCGGTCAGTCCCAACCCTCCCCCCCACCCCCCACCAATCCTCCCTTCCAGAGTTTTTAACATTTAGTATTAAATAATACCTCAGATTAAAGTTAGGATAATATAATTGACATTGCTGGATTCCTTGTAAGACCAGGAATATTTTGAATATAAATGTCATATATTTTGCACAAAAGATAACATAGTTACCTAGAGAAAAATTTTTATCTAAAAATTGTATGTTTAATGCAAAATATATGATGTTTATATTCAAAATGATCACCAAATTATAAGAATTCCAGCAATGTAAATTATATTCTGACCGGGTAATTTGTATGAATTTTATGAGCTAAAACAAATATCTTCAGTTAATAAAAAAAAAAAAAATTCTTCACCAGGTAACAGATGGTCGGTCGGTCCCTCCCTCCCCCCCACCCCCCACCAACCGTCCCAAGGAGATGTGTGGGATAACCACTAAATTTTAATAAATAATACCTCAAACTAAAGTTAGGATAATATACAGGTAGTTCTGCTATAACGCGATAATTGTGTTCTTGTAAAATATCATGTTATAGAAAATCGCGTAATAGAAATAACAGGGCTTATGGAGAAAATAGGGTTAGGTGCAGTTTACTCGAAATCGAAAAAATTTAGTAGTTAGCCTAACACAAAGGATAGCACAGTCTAAATAAATGTTACATTCATATCTAATAATGAAATCATACAGTAAATTTAACACTTTACCTTGAAAAAATATGAATGTAACTTGATGGGGGAGAAGGGTGATTTTGAGGTTGATAACATCAAGCTTCTCTTCAAGTGTTATATCCTTTCTTTTACGATAATCACCGGGAATTCTATCATCAGAATGCTTTTTGGAGATATTCTTCTTTACCATATTCACAGTTAATACCACAAAATTGGAGAAATAGTAAGCAAAAATCGCGTTATAGCAAACAAGCGATCGCGTTATACAAATATTGTTCCGAATTCATAAATCGCGTTAGAGCAAATTCGCGTTATCAAAACACGCGTTATAGCAGAACTCACTGTAATTGACATTGCTGGATTCCTTGTAAGACCAGGAATATTTTGAATATAAATGTCATATATTTTGCACAAAAGATAACATAGTTACCTAGAGAAAAATTTTTATCTAAAAATTGTATGTCTAATGCAAAATATATGATGTTTATATTCAAAATGATCACCAAATTATAAGAATTCCAGCAATGTAAATTATATTCTGGCCGGGTAATTTGTATGAATTTTATGAGCTAAAACAGGCAGTCAGGCAGGGTGGCGGGTGGGGCAAATCTAAAAATAGCGTCTCGAGCCGGACACTCACCGCGTATATGTGGAAAAAATCCGTGTTAAGTGAAAGTTCAGCTCTGGCGAGGCACCGCGTATATGATAAAACGCGTTAAGTGAAACCGCGTTAGGCGGGGTATATATATATATATATATATATATATATATATATATATATATATATATATATATATATATATATATATATATATATATATATATATATATATATATATATATATATATATATATATATATATATATATATATATATATATATATATATATATATATATGTATGTATGTATGTATGTATGTATGTATGTATGTATGTATGTATGTGTATATGTATATATATATATATATATATATATATACCAAATTAAACTTTTGAGTGTTACTTACAATGTGGTAGTCACAATTAGACCCTTTTCCTATCATTTCTTATGGGAATTAATTCCCCTTTATAAGTGATTTCATTATAAGTGGCTTTTTTCTGGTCCCTATTAACCTCTTATAATGAGGACCCCCTGATACTTATTAAAAGTCTTGACACTCAGCAAGTCCAGATCCTCATTTCTTCCCAAATTGTTTAGACTTTTGAGGGTTTACCGTATTATATATACTATTTATATATATTAAGTGGGGATGCACAACATTCTACTAAGATGTTATTTGTGAATATAATAATTTTTTTAAATTTCATGCAAAGAATGGGTTGTTTTGAAGTAGGATTTAATGACTGAGGTTGAGTTCACAAATGATGGAGAAGATAATGAGTAGATGATCATCAGAGTCAGAGAATGTACACAAAAAAACAATTAAAAGTCACTTAAATGTACAGAGAATTCTGCAATATCTGGTTTGGTTTAGATAATATGTAATGGGTAGTAAGAGGTGATGCCTGGACCCTGCAGTACTGTATATATCACTTGAACACTTATAAAACTTTTTATTTAAAAAACTTTACAGTTCAAATCTTGAAGCTTCTAGTTTTGGTGTACAGAAATGTGCCATTTAACGATTAGGATGTGTTCCTAAAAACAGATAGCTAAGTGATTGATCGCTGAGCAAACAGAAACGAGAAATAATATCTTAAACAAGGGATAACGAGGAATAATATCCGTAGGGATGGCACGTAATTGTGTAGCGGAGTTGCCTGGCCAACTCGCCACCCAATAGTACTCGGAGCAGGTGAGGCTGAGCTGTGAGCTATGTTAATTACATATATCTACCCAAAATTATGAGTTGAAGAATAACATACAGTATCTCACAGCCCAGTTTCACCCGCTCTGAGTACTGCTGGCAGTGCTGGGTGGCGAGTTGGCCAGGCAACTCCGCTACACAATTACGTGCCATCCCCACGGATATTATTCCTCGTTATCCCTTGTTTAAGATATTGCTTCTCGTTTCTGTTTGCTCAGCGATCAAATCACTTAGCTATCTTGTATTCTGTTATATGCACACACATTTGTTCATACAGAATGTGCAAGAAAAAAAAATAATCATAAGGTCAAAAACAAAGGAAATACAGTAAATAGTTCTTCCTTGGTCCGCCTATTAGCTGAGAAGAGCGGAGGGGTAGGGAAGAGCAATAAATTTTGTTCACAATATCACAGGGTAACGAACAGTTCGTACAGTACCCAATAATATGCGAAAGTCACAACAATAACAATGATGCACAGCAATAGAAACAATACACAGTGATTGATAATATACAGAGCATTATAGTAAAGCTCAGATGCAATGTTCAAAGGCAGGGCAAACACTAGTGTAGTAAAGGACTGGGTTCATAGGTGGAGTGCCAGTAGCATGCCCCCTACAATACGTGGTTTCTTATAATAAACCTAGATATGTACCTCCTCTGGTTACCCCCTGCCCTCCAATTTTTTTTTTTTTGCTGGAAAAGCCTGAGAGTGAATTTTAAAATCATTTCTAAAATTCATATTGGTTGATTCATATGTAGTATCATATACAGCGGTTCCCTTTCCTAGTGGTTTAGTGTCGGCCTTGAAAATACAATGGTGGCCAGATCTCTGAGTGGGTCGGGCGACATACAGTATCATACTCGGCGTTTATTTTACACCACTTAAATTAGTTTTTTCAACTTAGTTATAGCCAATCACATACACACATGTTCACTTCTCACTCATACACACCCATGCTCTTCGTTTTTCTTATTTACTAGTGTTATATTATATTTTCTTTATTTCTAAGCCACATTGTTTTTATAGAGTAGAATAATTGTTAAAGAAGTCCATTTTTGAGATGTGTATCAGGAATCAGCTGGCTGACGTGCCAGTTAGCTGTGGCCTGCAAGAGATGCTAATGCATGTTGCCATTGTTACATATACAATTATGAAACTCTAAAAGTTGTGGAAAATCATTTCAATACTCTAATGTGACTTTGAAATAAAGAAAATATATAAAACTATAAAATGTGAAATATGAAGTGCATGGGTGTATATTTTGTGTGTCTAAGATGCAGTGCACATTAGCAGTGGGGGCAATGAAGCATGGAACTCTCCCGCGCCACCGTAGAGGCCCCTCGCGGCCAATAGTGGAAGTTGTCAGACGCACAAACACGGCCTCCCTTGCTCCCCATGCAACCCGTAGTGCAATCTGCTGAGGGCTGCATTGTTTAAACCCACGTAGTTTAAGGGTTAGGTGTATACTGTAAACATTTTCATTAAGCATAAACAAAATTTTTTTGATCTACTCATTCTTACTTATAGAAATAATTATTTATCTCGATTACTCAAATAAAACTGTTTGTAGTAATTTATTTACAATGCTAATTCAACACATCCGACCTTTTTATCTCAAATAACAAGTTATCTGTCATGTGGTGCAGTCAAGTGCAGTGAGGTGAGTAAAAGGCCTAACCCCGAGCGTCTCGCAGGAGAGCACATACCCAAACTCAAGTGTGTTAAGATTCAATGTCACAAAATGTAAGAGGATGCACCTTGGTCATACCCACAGTAAGGAGGCATATCACGTGTCCCAACGGGATGAAGAAACTGCAATAATAAAGACCGAATGTGAAACAGACCTGTATGTTGACAGTGAACTGAAGTTCTTGAGCCATTGGGATAAGCTAGTAGGTCTTATAAGACGGTCGTTTGGATAGCTAGACCATCTGTGCCCCGTGGTGCTCTTCAAGAGGGAGGTGCTTCCCCATCTGGAGCACTGTCACCCTGTCTGGTCCCTGAGATATACTAGAGACTGTCAGTTGATTGAAAATGTCCATTGGAGGGCCACCAGGCTGGTGCCTGCACTATGGCACCTCAGTTACCCAGAGAAATTACAATGCCTGCAACTGCCAGCTTATACTATAGGTGGGCAAGGGGTGACCTAATTGTAGTTTATAAATATCTCAGAGGGCATTACTTGGTTAAGTGTCTATAGCTGGAGCTGACAGATGCACCCCACTAGAGGTCACAGCTCAAGGTTGAAGAAGCCACAAGTCCAGAAAATTGTAAGGGTAAATTTTTTTAGAGTGAGAATTATAAACTCATAGTGTTTTGACAGCACCGAGTGTGAGTTCTTTAAAGACTAGACCTGACCAACACTGGCGCAGGTACAGATAAGTTCTGGAGCCAGTACTTGCCAACAGAGCGTAACGGACGTGACCGACCACTCAAGCGGCTAACGAGCCAATCAGTGGCAAAGAGGATAAAAGTAAAAGTGTGTGGCTGTGGACTGAACAGCTGACTCGTCCTCCATGTGGGTGACAGCGGCGCATGGAAAGTAAGATGGTCAAACTCACAAACTCTTGGTCAGATATTGGAATTTCTGTACATACAGTACTTTTAATTTTGAAAATGTACTAATTTATGAGCTTTAATAAATTTGAGTTAAATTATCATACATTTTTCACATTGGTTCAACATGTTTTGTTTAATACTAAGTGTATTAGAGGGAATATTATCAAAGAACATGACAGAGATTTATTGAGTTAGTCATACAATACGCAGTAATTTTACGTAACTCATACCAATAAAATCATCATACAATATCTAATAGTACACTACAAGATGAAAGCGGGTGGCCTAGATCTGCATACGACAATGGACAGTGAGACACAGGCTTGCGGTGACTTTTACCCCTGGTTTGCCTATTCCTGCTCGTACAGAGGCGGGAAACTCGAAAAATAATTATCTTCCAATTGCTGTTGATGGGTGCTTGATACAGTTAAATAGTAGTATCAGTTTCAGTTAATTAAGCATAATAAAGAGGATGATATAAGTAGGCGTGAGTGAGCTGAACTAAGAATGGTGATGTGGATTGTAATGTGACAGAAAAAGACAGGTCATGTTCAGAGCTAAGAGGGTGACTGGGTATTGTGAGTACAGTACAGTATTGACAAAGTTCTGAGTAGAAGCAGGTTGAGGTAATGTAGGCTTGTGGTGAGAATAGAGGAAACCAGTTGGGATAAGGTGCATGAGCTTAAATGTGGAGGGGAGGAGAGCCAGGGTAGGTCAAGAATGACATGGGGAGAGGTTGTAAGAAATGACAAAGTAACTAATCCAACAAGAGAGACTGCATAGCCTGGAGAGCTGCCACCAGGTAAACTCAGCTAACCCACACAAGTGTGGAAAATGTCTATAAAACATTGATGATGATACATGTGAGTAATTGAGGGGAAATTGGAGAAGAAAACAACTGACTCAGTGATGAGTCATCTTGTCTTCACATGAGTTTATGAATAAGTTACAGAATAAGGTGAAACTGCTTATATGAGAATGATGACACATTGTAGGCTTATTTGTAGACTAAATAACATTGTGAATGTTAGAAAATAATAAAATAAGTTAGTGAAATAAGTAAACATAATGGTAATAAAAAATGCAGTATTTTAGTACTATACTGTACTGTATTTTCATTATTAAGTAGAAAGATCAACAACTTAGGGATTCTTTGCTCATGTAGCAAAGCATGGGATTTTTTTTTTGTACCTTAAAATTTTCATAAACTGAAACAAAATAAATTGAGGATAACCTGTACAGTATACAGTAGTTGCTGATAAGTTATTCAAAATTATTTATGGTGTGTATTATTATATTTAGAAGCTTATTTCATTTCGGTTTTAATACTGTGTTATATATTAATGATTTTCTTATGGTGTCTTGATTATTTACTTATTTATTTATAATTTATTTTTTGGAAAAACAGGACAGAAGCTAAAGGAACAGGAGTCTTGGTTATGTTATACTGTACTAACAATTTCAATTTGGAGAATCTGTTCATGATTACTTGCAGGTCTATGGCCCGTGATCGACCTGTATGGACAGTGTGCTCAAGTAACGATTGTGCACAACCCCATCAGACACGACCAATCGCTTATCTCTGTGTCACAGTACTTGGATATGTCACATCTGTCTCTCCCAGCTGCGGGTCAGGCGAGTGTTGGCTCTGAGGTGTGTGTGTGTCTAAAATTCACCTACATTGTAGTATGTATGTTAGGCTCAAAACTGAAAAACGACCATAATGCATCATGGGCATTTTCAATATAACCAGAAAGCGAACTTCTCTAAATTTCTCTAACCAAGCCTCATCTAATCTAACCTAATGTAACCTAGCCTAGCCTAGCCTAGCCTAGCCTAGCCTAGCCTAGCCTAGCCTAGCCTAGCCTAACCTAACCTAACCAAACCTTTTCTAATCTAAATTATATTAAAATTTAGCTTTTTGGTTATTTTCCAAACAACCACAATGTGTAGTGACTGAGTTTCTGTCTTTGAGCCTAACATATATATATATCAGAATATTACTTTGCACTGTATTTCCAGCTCTGCACCTAAGATTCTTATAGTTTTTCAAAATATATTTTAATGCTTTTATCATACCAGTTATAATATTTTGCCTGTTTGTCCCTCGTTTGCAGATTCTCATTAAAGCTGTTAGACAGCATATGAATAATGCTAAGATTCTTGTTCTTGACTTTCTTGGTGATAATCTCAGCCACCATTATTCTATTAATGCTTTGTTTTTCTCAAATAAAATTTTCAGTAATCCTGACCTTCCCAACCAGTGTTATTGAACCATTAATCTACTGTTACCCCTTGAACTAATCAAAACTTGTTAATTTCCCTGTGCTCTTTCTAAATGAAATATTTGAAAAAGGGAAGCATAACAAAATTATAATACCTAGTACAGTATGTTCTTATAATTTTACAGGGTGCTTTGATCCATTGATGGATGGTAATACAGCATTCACTTAGATCAGAAAACAACAAAGTTAGAACAGTGTCATTATTGTTGCCATTAGCTGTACCTTAAATACAGTAAGGTTAAATACTTATGATACTTTGCAGATGAAAATATCAATGTGATGGTTGAAATTACTTCTTCTTGATCAGCTTCGAGATATGAGGCTTTTTCAGAATTGGAGCACATCATAGGGCTTCAGCCAGTTTTGTAGTACAGCACGCGGATTTTTAATTTGCGGACCTCGATTATTCGCGGATGACATCCTGGATGTACCCAAGAATGTCTAAAGGTAGTTCTAAAGTTGCTGGCATTTTCATGGCCAGGACAGAGAGTCATTCGTTCTAGAGACAGTACAGGTAGAGTAATTTTTTTCACCTGTATTGTATGTGTTTTGTGTGTGTAGACACACAAAACACATACAAATTTATAATAATGGTAAAATCCTGAAAATCCTCTCACAAATAATCAGAAATAAGACAACAAAAATTAGGAAAAAATGTCGAAGTCTACCCTCAAGTCAACTGCGTGCTGCTATTAAAGTTAACTTTAATAACAAAGAACCAAATTTTGCTGTCTTGTTTCTGATTATTTGTGAGAGGATTTTCAGGATTTTACCATTATTATTTATGTGTGTGTGTGCACGTGTGTGTGTGTGCCTGTGTGCATGAGTGCGTGTGTGCGTGCGTGCATATATACAATACAGGTAAAAGAAATAATTGTCCTAAGGGCAAACACATAAGGGAATACACAGTACATTTCTTTGCACACAAGTAAAAAAGTACCCCCCGCCCCCTTCCATGGTCAGCAGGTGTTATTCACGGATTTGGCTATTCGCGGCCATTTTGAGAACCTAACCCCTGCGAATTTTAAGGGTACTGTATGCTGTACAGTACTCTCCTTCCATCCCTGAGCTATGAGAGTGAGACATGTTGAATTTCAGTAGAACTATAGTATAAAGTAGATGTGTAAGTTTTCCTTGATGTTGTCATGCCCAATCCTGAAAACCAGTTGTAACCATGCTGATGGTAGTGTCAGTCTACCACCCTTGGAATTAGTGCTCTTACCATAATACTTAATTCATTTGCAGAGTAGACTTGTTTTTATTTTATTTTTTCAGTGGTGCCAACTCATTACCCCTTGTTACTCAAGTTTAGTACAATTACCATATTCTCAACACCTCCAGAGTTATACCACCCAGATTAGGTCATCCATCAAACATTTGAGTTTCCCAGTAACTGTCGAACTGTGGAATTCATATTGGAAAGTGTATTTGAAGATGGCTTTAGTAGGTAGTAGGAAGCTATCAAACAGGGAGGTACTACCGTCTGGGAAGATATTGGAAGAATATTGTTTTGTCTAATTGTAGACCCTGCTGCCATATGTCATCACAAAAATTGTGACCAAGTCCCAGGTTGCTAATCTGACTTTCTGCCTCATTTACACAGAATTGCAGGGTCTCATTTGTTTCTCTTACTATTGACAACACAACATACATACTTTTTATAGTTTCTTACTCTTAATTTATTTTTCATTTTTATATTTATATATGGTTATTGTTATTATTATTATTATTATTATTTTTATTATATTTATTTTTTTATTAATTATTATTATTATTATTATTATTATTATTATTATTATTTTTTTTTTATTATTATTATTTTATTTATTATTATTATTATTTATTATTTATTATTATTATTATTATTATTATTATTATTATTATTATTATTATTATTATTATTATTATTATTATTATTATTATTATTATTATATTATTATTATTATTATTATTATTATTATTATTATTATTATTATTATTATTATTATTATTATTATTATTATTATTATTATTATTATTATTATTATTATTATTATTATTTATTATTTATTATTATTATTATTATTATTATTATTATTATTATTATTATTATTATTATTATTATTATTATTATTATTATTATTATTATTATTATTATATTTTTGCCCCCAGGCCCTGATGTGGGTCAATGATCTGTGCCTGGGTGGATTAATCCCTATACAAAAACAAAACAGATGTACAGTTGTACCCCACTTAACGCGGTCAATAGAACCCAGAGGGTCCCGTGTTAAGTGAAATCCGCGTTAAGTGAACAACAGAACATATGGGATTAATTCCAATAGAAACCAGCCCGACCCCCAAACTCCACTTTTTGACGACACATAACTATGTTGTAGTAAAAATTTTATCTTAACTTTATGATGCTATGAAAAAACAAGTAATATAGAAGAGGTTAGGTTAGGAAAAATAAAGGTTAACATAGGAAAAATAAAGGTTACGTTAGAGAAACTAAAAGTTAGGTGGAACACTTACGGTAGTAGAAGAGATGGGTCGGCATACGGGGATGGAGGCTGGTTCCGAGGCAGAGGGCAGATTACTGGCCCTCAGGTGAATCATCATTACTAGGTGAATCACCATCACTGTCACTTACAGTTGTCAGGGCTTCCCTGACAAATCCCTCAAAGTCAACTTCACTGTCACTATCACTGACTTGGGCTGGCTGTGGTGGGTTGCGGGCGAAGAACTCGGTTATGCTTTTTTGACGGCTGGTGTTTATGTTGTCATGATACACCGTGATGTACGGCTCCATAGCCTGCACCAGCCGGGTATGGAAGACTTCATAGCGGTCATCGTCATTGTCGCGGGAAAGGACGGACTTCATTTTCTCTGCAAACTCTATGGCACACTTAATATCACTATGACTTAAACTAGGTTCTTCGGAGAATGACGCACCTTCTTCCTCCTCTTCACTGGTGTGTTCTTCTTCCAACATCTCGTCGGCAGTCACTTCAGGATCTCTGATCACCTCCAGGATGTCTTCGTTGGTGGTCTCGGAGAAACCTTCAGCTGTAATATTGTGCGCAGCTTCTCTGGCAAGGTCCACTGCTACTGCAACAGTCTGAACCTCACCAGTCACAGGTTCACTCCTCCTCTCACCTGGTATGCCATGCAACACATGTCTCCATGCGTGACGAATCGTAGCAATAGTCAGCAGATCCCATGCTTGTTTAACGTTAAACTTCTTCCAAAATTGTTTGACGAGAAGTTCTTGAGTCACCACCTCTTGTTCCTTGTCCTCGTCGCTTTTGCTGTCGCTGTCGGTGTCACCCAGCTTACGCAACTCATCCTTGGTGTTGGTAGAGTCGTTCAGGAGCTTGAACTTCTTTGCAGAGTACGCAGCTTTCACATTGCAGATCAACTCCTGGTCCATGGGCTGGATTAATGACGTAGTGTTGGGAGGAAGGAAGACCACTTTTACGTTGGGGGTGGCGATCCATAAGTAGGGGCGAGTGTCCAGGTGCGTTGTCAAGGAGCAACAAAATATTGAATGAAACATTCTGTTGCTCGCAGAATTTCTTCACGTCGGGAACAAAACAGTTGTCAAACCAGAAGAGGGACAGAGAAGAGGACATCCACACCTTACGTGCAGTTAGCCAGTGGACATTAAGCTTGTTCATGTCCATATTCTTGTAGGCGTGCGGCTTGCGGGGTGTGTGAATCACCGATAACTTTGGTTTATAGGTACCGGAGGCATTGGTGGTAAACAGGACGGTGATGCGTTCCTTCTGCAACTTCCGACCCCTTACCTTGCTGGCAGACTGGACAACGAAGGTCTTGGAAGGTAGCTTTTTCCAGAAAAGACCAGATTCGTCCATGTTAAACACCTGGTCGTCAGTGTACTGTCCTTCCTCCATAATCTCACGTAAGAACGGAGGAAAATCTCTAGCCGCCACACGGTCAGCACTCGCTTCCTCACCACCAATGTTGATGTTGGTGATCTTGTTCCTCTTCTTAAACCTATGCAGCCAACCAGAGAAAGCATTGAAGGGTTTGGGCTCTGCAATTCCCAGCTTACGTGACACTGCTGCGTATAGCTCATGTGCGTACTCCTGCACTGAGCGCGTGTCCACCGCCATGTTGCGTCGCGCCTGACGAATCAAATAACTCACCAGCAAATTTTCCACTTTTGCCAGCACCCTGTTCTGGCAATACCTGATAGATGAAGCACCTGCAGACTTTGTGATTTTCATGTGCTCTTTGATCTTGGCTGCATCCTTCTTGATCGTGCGAATCGTAGATTCGTTGACGCCATGCTGGCGCGCGAGATCAACTTGCCGTGTTCCTTTCTCCAAATCTTGAACAATTTGGTACTTCACCTCGTAGCTTAAG